TACTTCTGTTTTCCATCCAGACATGTTTTACGGATGCTTGTGCTGGTGAGAGAGGCCGGTTATTCTCCGCTCATTGCTTTGCTGTTGACACCATTTTTGTTTGTGTTACAATAAACTTTGCTTCTGCATTAAAGGGATTTCAACAGAACCATCTCTTTGGTGCATTTGGGATCTTGTTTCACAGTAGAAATATTCAAACGACTAGAAGATGCAGTGCGTCAAATTGGCCGGAAGAGGGAGACCTCCCACTGATGAAACAACACACTGTAGGGAGCAGGCAAAATGCCCTGCACACGACAAGACAGTGGAGTCCAGCAATGCTTAAGGTATTTCAAAAAATATTACCTGACCACTATTCTACAGCAGAAAGAATAACACTTTGAATTAACTGGTTTTCTACAATAACTGGTGATAAAATGTATTCTGACCATCATAGTGTCAACATAAAACACAAAGAATTAGAGTCTTTCAGGTCTTCACTTAACACACCCACTAAATAATCCGTGTGGTGGTGGAAAAAGAAGCGAACCCACTTGGCATCACTTCATTATCACTGGATCAGACGTGTTCAGGAGGAAGTTGTTGTTTTTACAGAATCGCATCAGCTGATCCAAAAAGTGGAGTTTCTGTGTTTGAGCCTCTCAGTAGCGGATTTACTGTGAACAACCGCTCTAACATTATCCTGTCTTGGAATTTATTTGTCCCCAATGATGGTAATATTTACAGACCCAGAAGCAGCCTCAAATCTTAATATTTCCTCCAGCACATTTCAGCTTTGGACTGATGCTTTAATACTGGTACACAGGGTCTTTATTCCGCCATACAGTAGGCTGTGCCTTTTCGAGTAAAAAAAAAAAACATTTTCCAGCAATCTTGTCGAGTGTCAGGGTCTGTGAATGATTAATGTGTTCAGTGGGGACAACAACAATACAGTTATTTCTGCGCTATTAGTTCAAAAAGACAGCAGACGATTCCAAAGACTTCCTTACTTTTTCATTCTAAGATATTTAATTTAATCAAACTGATTGAAATTGTACTGATGCACCACCAAAAGCTAAAGCGGCACTAAATATCATAATAATTGGTAACTCAAATAACTAATAACAAGCCAAAGTGAACTTTGTCCCTTGGCTTGAACAGCTGCCAAACTATTACCCTTCAATGATTCACAAAAATAATGATAAAAGCGAGATAAACCTACACTCGAAGATGTTGTTCTATACTGACGTTGTAGGCAATTATTGAATCCTATTGCTGACTCACTTATTAATATGGGTACACCACCGCGGACAGCAGGAAGCAGTGAGAGTTCTGCAGCTTAGCCTTGAAGCGTCTGACTGATTGTGGTCTCAGCTGATAAATAAATAGCGCGACAGCAATATGTGCTACGAAGAAAAGACAATTATTATCAATCACTGTCCAAAAAAACTTCTTTAAATGCACATTTTCTGAATGAACACATAATCCATCGCCGTAGTTTAAACAATGTAGGGGATGGGTATTTTATTTTAGATGGATATACTGAATAAATTTGTTTGTGCTTCACTGATTTAAAGTGACCTGCCGAATGGAAAAAGAAATTCAATAAGAAAAATCTGCAGAACTTTTGGCACACATTTAAAAAAAAACAACATTTAAGTTCATTCCTGTCAGATTTTATGGGAAGCGTAAGAAAATAGGATGAACAAATATTCAAGCCACTTTGTATTTGAAATGAGCAGATATGATCAGCTGTCATTGAAGGAACAAACCGAGTAAAGTTGAGTATTCAGGCATATCTGAGGGTGACACTCCTAATTTAGGATAAACCAAATGAGCGATGTGCTTTAGGAGTTTGTAACTATTGTAGAAAAATAGATGATCAGAATCCGTTAAGACTCAGACGCGTTAGTTGCAGCCTCAGGGGATTTTTATTATTTCCTGGCGGATCACACATCTCAACAGACAGACGTCAAATCCGAACTCATCCTCTGGAGCAAAAGTTTTAAAGTACAGGCAGCGTCATGGAGACGAGGTCACCATGACCTGTTGTCGTAGTAACCGGGGACGCCAGATGGCTAGTTTCTTGGAAAACTATGTGTGTGTGTGTGTGTGTGTGTGTGTGTGTGTGTGTGTGTTTCCTGTGCTTGTTCTGGTTACATTCCAACAACATCATTTCACTTGATATGTGTCTTGTGTGCACTGTACAACATCCTGATTTCTCAGTATCTCTATTCTTCACTCCAACATTCATCTGAAATTCAACTGACTTTCACTCCAACATAACAGTAAAATCATACTGTAGGTGGACAAACCCTCTGTGTTGTCACTCATAAGTGGCTTTGAAGCTCAGTGTGGTGGCTCAGATCACTGTCACCATCATGACAGCGTCCGACTCTTCTCATCCAAACAAAGAGGTGGAGCTTGAGTGGAGCTGAGATGGGCAACGCCTTTGGGCCATGAACCGTCCTGTGACGATACTTCCCCGTCATCTGAATGAGTTATGTGTAACTTTATGAGCTACAGTTTAAACACCTGAGTTATATAAAAATGTACCCTCCTACAGTTGTCATAAACAGGAAAATTGGCAACAGACACCAAAACAGTTTTGTGTAGCAGGCTGTAAAGAAGTTTATTTCTGCTTTAAAGTTGGGCGTTTTCACATGGGGGTCTATGAGGACTGACTCCCTTTTGGATCCAGCCTCAAGTGGCCATCTGAGGAACTGCTCTGGCTTCCATTTCCAGCCCTGGAAATTTCCGCTCCACTGAAATCAGCAAGAGGGAAGAGTCGTATGTTTTATCTCCAACCGACCGTTATGTAAGCAAATAAAGCAGCACCTATGTTGCCGTCATATCACGAACCATAAAGGAGGCAGGCCCAAACTTTCACCGAGAAACCCATTTTATCGAGGTATCTTGGGTAACATTTAGGATCGAGTACGTTTGTGAATTTTATCATTTTACAAACCTAGAGGCAAAGTCTACTGTTTTTACATGTGTCTGTGAAGATTCTCAGTCATCCAGGTCGTGGTTATCCTCGTAGTTTAACTGCAGCAACTGGACTTGCTTGAGTTCCTTGAAGACGTTTCACCTCTCATCCAAGAGGCTTCATCAGTTCTGACTGACTAGTTGGGAGTTCCAGATACTTAAATCCTTAAGGAGCCATTAACACTTGAGTTTCTACTGTTTTTACCACTTTCTTTAACAGACTGAATGATTCAAACTGACAAATCACCGTCCACAATACCACTGCAACAATACACTTTTGAAAATGACAATGTTGGAGGAAGCTCTGCGCTCTATGTGAGCCGTCTTTGAACACATTGGTTGCTTCTGCCTTTTTATATGTTAGTAGTTGAAAACTGGAGATTCAGTAGGAATGGAATGATGTGACAACCTGGAGGATGTTAGCCTTTAGGACATGGCATCTCCATGTCTTTATCAAATAAATGTCTTTACCAGAGTCGGATAAAGATGTGAAGAAAAGATAAGATATGATAAGATAATTCTTTATTTATCCCCATAGTGGAAATACACGTGTGTGTGTGTGTGTGTGTGTGTGTGTGTGTGTGTGTGTGTGTGTATATATGGACACACATAAACAAAAACAGACACATATATATGGACACATATATAAAGGAAAAAAGTACGTACAACTAAAAGTTCAAGTGGCAAATCTAAAAGTTCCCCTATTGAGCAACAGATCTCACCATCTAAGAGCTAAATGTGCATGGTTTGGCCTATAATCTTGCCCTGGCCATTTCTTAGACTACAAATCATTTTGGAACAAACAGCAAATAAGAAGAAACGTGTTATTCTGAAGGTCTACAACCTTTTTAGCTCAGCTGATGATGTGTTTAAGTGTTGTTGCAAATGGAGCCCCGGGGCAGCCGCTCCCTTTAAATATTAACCAGAAAAGAAAACACGTCTACTATCCGTGATGAAACAGATACCAATGTGTTAATAAGTATGATGAGTGGACAACAGTGCCAAACATTTAGCAAAAAGGCAATTGGAAATAGTGTTTACTTTTGTTTTTTTAAGTAGCAACAAAATCCTCATTTATGCAATGCAACCATCCTTCCTTATATTCTTTCTGAACACAGTAACTTGGTTGCAAAGATGTTCTTCGGAGATTATAGTTAACTAAAAATAAATTGCAGCTACGACTGGGAGGGTTATGTAACCATGAGTTAACAAAACTTTTAAAATCATTCCCGTTAAAAATAAAACAGTATATGTTCATATATGAAATCTGGTATTATTGTGTGATTATTATGATTTTTATTATTTTTTGTGTTCATTTTATTTTCTGTCATTAACTGGTTTGATGTTGGAAGTGATATGTACAGAAAAGTGCTCTATGTACATCCTGTTACTCATTTAAATAAAAAGTTAAATAACAAACATAAAACAATATAACTTTTTTTTTTTTTAAATAATAAAAGCTATACTGAAACTCGCCATTTTTAAACAATAAAAACCAAACTGCATTTGAAATAGAAATTAAAAATAGAGGGAGAAACTAATAAAAAGAATGCCACACTGTAATTACTCTGCCTCTTCTACTTAGTAAGTAGCTGCCTCAGCTACTGTGCACAATTAGAGGCAGTTCTATTCACATGTTCAACATGCTCGGCGTCATCATTAGTGCCCACACCTTACAGTGCTCTGGAGATGTTATCTTCCCTCTTATCAGCTCCAGGGCCCCACAACAATATGGTTCGCAAAGGTGACTGAGTTGGAAAACAGGGTGACAGGTGAGGTACACCCGTGGATCCAAACAGATTTTCTGGCTGTGAGAGAACAATGGAACTGACTGCGGCATTGTTTCAATGTTGCTATAAACCAAACGACGGCATAAAAGCAAAAGAGCAGAGTACGCCTTCGCTAATCTATAAACAGAGCCAGATAAAGTGAGAGATCATAAACCTGCCACTGCCTTGCCAAGCGTTTATAATAATCCCTCAGTCGCACTTCTCAGAACAATAGCGTAACATCCACGGTTCAGAGTGGTCGCCATGAAACTCTTACTTCCTAACCCAGGACTGGAACAGCGGATCTTCAGCCATGAAGATCTGGAGAGGATGGAGAAGGAGGAGGCTGAGGACAGACCCAAGTGGGACAACAAAGCCCAGTACATACTAACATGTGTGGGCTTCTGCATTGGGATTGGCAACGTGTGGCGATTCCCCTACTTGTGTCAAAGTCATGGAGGAGGTAAGCTCAGGTCAAATAGTAACTCTGTCTTAATGATGAACAAGTCACAGTGTGGTTAAGGTTGCTGGACATTGTGTTTTTTTTTCTATAATTTAGACATCATTTTCCCAGACAGACTTACTGTATCAGGGCAGAATTAGTTATTGTGTTAAAGCACTCACAAAAAGGCAGATGCTGATTCCAAATATCGAAACTACTAACTCCTTCTTTTTTAAATACACATCTTGGTCTTTGTGCATGTACAGTAATTGGTTTCTTTTCCAAAGCATGCGGGTTACATAAAATTAAAATGTTGCATAATGAGTCACAGAGAATGGGACAGCTTTTTAAAAGAATAACAGAACCATGAAATCTTATTATTTTTCTGTGATTTTTAAAACTTGATGTTAAAGCCCTTATCTCAGAAGTGAATTCCACGTTTTTGTGATCACGCACACAGAAAACTCAAAATAGCAAAGATGACCTTGTAAAAAATTGAAAAAAGATTCACAAGATTATACAACAACCAGCTATAACCATAAAATTTTGATTTTTTTATTACCTTGACTTAATGGCCAGAACTAACCATAATGTTTTCGTAAGTGTAAAATAAAACGGACTTTTAGGAATTGCTAAATGTCCAAAGCCACTGAGCTCTCTAGAGGGGTTCTACTGAGCCTGCCAGTGATCATTAATCAGCAAAATAGGACAGCTTGGAAATGTAGAACCCTAACAGCTACACACTTAGAGGTAGGTCGAACACTAGCTCCCTTGAAGACACACAACTGTTGCTCACCACCTTCTAGTGTACCAGGAGTGTGATCGGCGGACTGTTTTCCATCCATGTGCAGCGGATCTGTGTCTACATATTCTGCACATGCATACGACTTCCTTGTAACATAGTCTAGCATAGTTATACTTTAGGCAGGGACCTAAAGTATAACACTGGCCTTTAGCTTTGATTATGCTTCCTTACTTCGTTACACTATTTGGAGGACTCCATTCCATACATGTACACTACTGTGCTGCACACGGACAAGGTAGAAGATAGGTTGCATGGATTTAAGGAAGATGCAAGAAGTCTAGCAATAACAGAAAGATGGCCCGGATGTCAAAGTCAAGAGAAATTAACTCAAACCGTGCCTACCAGCTTCCAAAATGCACTGATAGACAGGCACGACTGTTTCACAGCTCAGACTCTTCAGTCTAAGCTGTAAAGAGACTTTATTTGCCTGGGAATGCGTTGTCATGTTTGGAATGTCGGAAAAACTCTTGATTTCTAAAATTGTGCTAGTGATCATTTAACATTTTCCAGGTGCATTTCTGATCCCCTACCTGATCCTGCTGGTGCTCGAAGGAATGCCTCTCCTGCTGCTGGAGTTTGCCATCGGCCAGCGCCTCAGGAAAGGCAGCGTGGGAGTTTGGAGGGCCATCAACCCCTATCTGACTGGTGTCGGTGAGTTATTAGACTGGAAGACCCAGAAGAGACAAAACAACCACAGGAGCCCTAATAAATACCTGACTCTTTGCAAGTGTGGTGTCAGTTATTGTTGCTCTCCCACAGGTATCGCCTCCATGCTGGTGTCGTTACTGATCGGACTGTACTACAACACCTTAATAGCCTGGATCATGTGGTATCTCTTCAACTCCTTTCAAAGCCCGCTGCCTTGGGCCCAGTGTCCTCTCAATGAGAATAGGACAGGTATTTGAAAATACATTATGCAAATACTCAAACATATTAACCCCCTAAAACTCTACTGAAAATAACTGACTGTTTAATGCTTCTTCAGAATTTGTATCAGAGTGTCAACGCAGCTCCACCGTGGATTATTACTTCTACAAAGTGACCCTAAACAGTTCGACGTCTATAGCTGAGTCTGGAGGACTCCAGTGGCCCATCGTACTCTGTCTGTTAGCTGCCTGGACAATCATCTGTATCAGCTACATACGAGGGATCAGTACTTCAGGAAAGGTTTGTTGAACCTGCAGTTAAAAACTACGTATAACTCAATGACTACTATTAGCATTATTTCCTATGTTTTTTTTTTTTATATCTTCAGGCAGTGTACGTCACAGCCATCCTGCCTTACATAGTGCTGGCTATATTCCTGATCCGAGGACTGACCCTCAAAGGCTCCCTAAACGGGTTAAAGTTCCTCTTCACACCTGATGTATGTTTCAAACTTTTTATCATCCAAAAAGTAATTCAGAAATGTCCTAATACTGAGTCACATCACGCTCTGTCTTGATCTTGCAGGTGGAGGAGCTGATGAATCCAACAACTTGGCTGGATGCAGGTGCCCAGGTCTTCTATGCCTTTAGCTTAGCATGGGGAGGACTCATCTCCTTCTCAAGCTACAACCCCGTTCAGTAAGAAACATTTAGTAGTGTTTTGTAACCGCACAACAGTTTGGCTAAAATTTAACTCTCAGAGAGAAATGTAACTTTCTCAGACATGTTTTGGTTCTAAATCTTCTGCCTTTTTTTTTTCTTTTTCCCAGCAACAACTGCATGCAAGATGCCGTGATCCTGTCCGCTATAACTGGCCTCACCTCCATCTATGCTGCCACTGTCACCTATACCATCATTGGCTTCAGGGCTACTGAGAAATATGAAAATTGTATTAGTGAGTGAGTAGTCACAGAGTAGTCACAGAGCATTCACAGACCGCTGCATGTTTCTCACAAGTTTACATTTTTTAGAGACACAGTTTCTAATCAAAGTTTATACAAACAGGCCAAACTTCCAAACCCAAGTTTGGAGAGATGACTTGAAATGTTGATTTTTCATCCATAACTCAAATTCCTAAACCATGTACATATTTAAACAGCAGAATACGAACTGGATTTGTGATGCTCACTCCACATTCACTAATACTCCTCATATTTCCTCCCCAGAAACATCATTACTTTAGTGAACTCATTTAACCTTCCTGAGGACAGCATCACTACAGACAACTACTACGACGCCTTTGATCATCTGAACAGCTCCTCTCCTGATATTATTCTTGGACTGGATATCAAAACCTGTGACATGCAGAAACTTCTCAGCGAGGTGACGATTTTGATCAAAATCCATCAGCTCTCCGTACTGTTGTTGTTTTTTTTTCCCCACTCTGATCAGCATTGTGTTTGTTTCCAGGGGGTGGAGGGAACTGGTCTGGCCTTCATTGTTTTCACAGAGGCCATCACCAAGATGCCTGGTTCCCCCGTCTGGTCTGTCCTCTTCTTCATCATGCTTCTCTGCCTGGGACTCTCAACCCTGTTTGGCAACATTGAGGGAGTGGTGGTCCCCTTGAAAGACTTGAATCTGTTACCTAAAAAGTGGCCCCAAGAAGCAGTGACTGGTATACTATTTTGTAGCTAAAACACATAGACTATATATATAAAAGATGGATGTAGTGACCATGCTGTCGCCCATTAATTTGTGAACTACCATTTCTATGCCTTGAGTTTAAAACGTGGTTGCTTTTTTGAAACTACACGTAATAAGTGAGGGGTGGGTCTGACTGAGAAGCCGAGGACACTATGCGTGGCGATACGGTAGCACCCTCAATCACAAGGTAGCCCCACCCTGAAGCACATCCTGCTTTATAGTTTGTTTTATTTTAAATGGGACCATTATTCAGAAAACAAACACCATGCATTGAAGAAGATGTGAAACTAGCAATTGAGCCCATGAACTCATCTGAAAAATATCTACCGAGTTAATAATTCAAGTCAAAAGAAGGGTCATTGTCTTCTAGACTTCTTTACAATGTGACAAGCAGAGGAGTCGGCCCCCGCTGACCCTTAAACAGTACAGTTATTGGGGAACTGTTGCATTGATACTTCTCAGACCTGGAAGTTATGTCCATCTTTTGTATAGGGTCTAAACTTCAGCTTTGTGACCACATTGTCTGGATTGTGTCTTAACACCAGCTTCCTGGTCTTTGTGTGTTTCAGGAGTTACATGTATTATCGCCTTCGTCATTACCCTCCTGTTTGCGCAGCAGTCAGGAATTTATTGGGTAACTCTTTTTGACGACTTTGCTGGATCTGTTCCACTGCTGACCATCGGATTGTTTGAGATGATAGCTGTTGTTTACATCTACGGCATAGACAGGTTAGTGCACAAAGCGTCTGTATTTGCTGATTTTATCATGTTGCTGGGCCTAAAACAAAATTATCATGCAAGCTGCCTCACGTCTTTTGCCTAAATATCATCAAAATCACCGACAATGATCCTCTCTTTACATATAGTAATAATTAAGAATTCAAAAAAATGACAATCTAAAATTAAAGATGTCTTTTCATCGTGACAAATGCACAGTTACTCATAATCCACCGTTACAAAATGGTTTAACCGCCTTCCTCGTTCTTTGTTTTGGTTTTACAGCCTGGAATTTTCCCATGCCTTGACTACTCTCTTTATATTGCATCTATTTGATTTCAAGTCCTTACTGTTTCGTAACCTTCAAGTTCTGTCTTCTCTGCGTTGCTGCTATTTTGGCCTTGATCATACTGTAAAACTGTAAACATCTCAGCAAGGCACTTTACTGACTAAATAAAGTTGTATATATAAAAGTGTAATTACAAATTCTCTTATCTGGCAGGTTTAACGACGACATAAAGTTCATGATTGGACATAAGCCCTCCATCTTCTGGCAGGTTTCGTGGAGGTTCATCAGTCCCGTCGTCATTCTAGTTATCTTAGTTTTCTACCTGGTAACTGAAGCCCAAAAAGAGCTCACCTATTTGGTCTGGGACCCCGACTCGGTAAGCTCACATAACATTTACTTGTGTTTTTTGAGTCGTTGCATCCGTATTTGATTCACAGTGTCTATAAAAAGTATTCCACCGTCTTGAAAGTTTTCACCTCGTACTTACAAAACAGACTCTTTCATTCGATTTCTACAAAGTAATGTCAAATAATTTAAAATATTAAACATAGAATAATTGTATGAAACCATCACCACATTCAAGTCAGTATTTCGTAGTTCATAGTTGCCTTTACCTACAATTACAGCACTGACCCTGTGTAAACAGGTCTCAGTCAGTTTTGGATAATTCAGTTTTACCTCATTTTTCTTTGCAAAACTAATCAAGCTCTGCCAGGTTACATGGGAAAATGTGAGTGAACAGCCCTTCATAAGTCCTGCCACAAACCTGTCATTTAGATTGAGGACTGGGCTCTGACTTGACCACGACAGAACATCATCTTGTTGTCTTTAAACCATTTCTGTGTAGCTTTGGCTGTATACTTCTGGTTGTTGTCTTGCTGGAAAACAAATCTTCTCCCAAGTCGTAGTTTTCTTGGAGTCTGTATCAGGTTGTCCTCCAGGACTCTCTATACTTTGCTGCATTCATTTTTACCCTCTACCTTTACAAGGCCTGCTGAGAAGAAGCATCTCCACATCATGATGATGCCACCACCATGCTTCATGGTGGGGATGTTGTGTTTGTGATGATGTGCAATGCTTGGTGTCTGCCCAACATAGCATCTAGTCCGATGACCAAGAGGCTGAACTTTTGTCTCTTTAGATCAATTTCAGTTTTTGAGAACGACCTGCTTTAGGCAGATTTAGACTTGTGCCATATTCTTTGCATTTTAGGGATGAGTTTCACTTTCGGAGCACAGAGCAGCAAGATTTAGTGATCTGGCGACTGCAGACAAACTCTGTCTTGCTTGAGTTTTACCGTTTCTTTACTGAATGTTGGCGTTAGTGTTCGAAGTACTTCAACTGTTCAGCTGTATGAGAAAATTAAGCAATCTTTACTCTGTTCTCAATTTAAACAAACAAAAAAATAACAATCAAAAAGTACCAATAAGAATACTGTTAAAGTACGTAAACAGTGTCAGTAAAAGTAGCAGTACCGTTACAATCTTAACGATAACCATCTCTATCCAATGATGGATTTTATTGTACTTCAAGAGACATTTAGTGACTTGGAAGTTTTCTTGTACTGATCTCCTGACTAGTAACTTGTTCACAGAGTTGCTTTGAGTAGTCTTTCATCCTTATGGCGTAGTTACAGCCACGAGTACAAATTCATCAGTGACAGGACTTTCCAGATACAGATGTCTTTACATGAGAATCACTGAGACACAGTCACTGCACTTAGATGATCTCAAGGTCACTAATCTTGAGAGTTGAAACCACATAGTTACCCTTGCATTGAATTAAGAGAGTCATTTGTGCAATGGGCCCTGTGATAGACTGGCGACCTGTCCATGGTGTCCCCAGTCTTCGCCCTAAGTCAGCTCGGATAGACTCCAGCCCCCCCGCAACCCTTGTGAAGATTAAGCGGTGTATAGATAATGAATGGATGGATGGATGATTCTATATTTTTAAAATCTGTTTTTACGTTGAGTCACATTATATTGACCATGATTCAATGCCAAAGAGCAATAAAAGGGGACAACATTCAAGGGGTGGGTGAATACTTTTTATAGGCCCTGTATAGATAAATTTGTGATGTGTCAAACATTTTTTATAGTAAGGCTTGTTAAAAATACAACATCAAATAGTAACTTGTCGGGTGTCATTATATTCTTTTGTGGTTTACAGGAGAAGTTTCCATCACTGGCATCGGTACCTTACCCTTCATGGGTCAACGCAGTCATCTTTCTTTTGGCGGGCGTCCCCAGTCTGGCAGTACCTGTGTACGCCTTGTGCAGGCTGGTCATTGTGACCTGCAAGAAAAAGAAAAAACACAGTGAAAAATTGTACCAAATATCTTAATGTTATTAAACAAGCCAGAACACAATACAATGCAAGATTATTTCACTTGATATGCTACCTTAAATGTTAAATGGGCTGCAAATACAGTATACAGAGCTTTTTACCTCAGCGGTTAAAAAAAAAAAAAAGAAAAAAAAAAGCACGTTGTAATGTTTTTGCATAATTCACCCTCACACTCTCAACAACAGCAGAACTGCAATGCAGCATGTTTGTCTGCCATCAGAAGCAACTTTGGATTTAGTGCCCAAGGACGCTGGCACGTGGAGCGACTGAAGATCAAAACTCCAACCCTTCGACTAGCGGACAGTCGACTCCCTCTCCTGAGCTGCAGCTCGCCAGTCATGAACATCATCTTCAATGTTATTTAAATTACTACTGTAAACAGTTGTTTGCCTATTTATATTCATCTTTTATTGATGCACTTTAATAAAATGGTCACAAACTGTATCTGCTCATGTTTTCTGCAATTTCATCCCTGCTTTTTAATATATACGTTTCCATTATTATTGTTGTTATTGTTGTTATTACTAATGTTGTGTTGGTGTTGTGTTGTTACGAGTACAACAGTTTCCCTGAGGTGCCCTACCAAAGGGATCAATAAAGTTCTATCTAATCAAATCTAATCTAATCTAATCTAGAGAAGATATGTAGAAGATTTTGTTTCCTGTTTATATTCTACACCCAGAGACAGTATATTGTATGAATACAGGTTTGTGTGAGTTTTGACAATATAATAATTCACTTGACAATGGTCTTCCTGCACTGCATGAACTGTTTCCAACATGAAACTTGAGGACGAACTCATAGCTGTCATTATATACGGAGATGCATTAGTTCATTTTGATGCAATATCACAGACACACCTTAGTAGTTTCCCTCTGAGATCAGTTTTGTGGATCTGGGTTCAAACTTTTCAGTGCTGGAAGTGTTTCAATCAGCAGCAGCAGATATAATGCC